TAAATAAAAGGTTTTTTTTTTTAGGTGGAAAGAGAATCAAAGAACAATGTTAAGAAACTAAATACTAATGACTCCTACATGATGCAGGGAAGACATTAAGATTAGATGTCGTTGAAGGGGATAAAATAGAAAAAAATATTATTTTTTTTTCCTTTTAGGAATCAAATAAAAGATTACTTGACCTGGAATGATGCTAACATGAAGCACATATTCAATGGCATGTAATATAAGAAGTCCTAGAGTTAAGGATAGGTAAAGAAAAAAACAAGTGCCATTATCATTTTATACTAACGTAAAATAGGAGCACTTTTTTTCTTAATGTATGTGTAGTACTAAAGGATGGATTTGATATGAAAAATATAAATAATCTATGTAGTGGATGGTATGAATGACGTAACGTGGGTGTTGATGTTAATAGCGAGACAACATTATTGTTTTCAATTTTAAAGATAATACATATTTAACAATTAAGGAAGGATATTAGTTTTACGCCCAATGGTTCGATTTATTTGTGCTATGAATCTTCGATTTTAGTTAGACTAACTAGTAATCACAAAATCTTTTTTAGGCTATTCCTTTAGATATAAGGAGTAAATAGTTCTCTAATCTTTTATCGAGGCTATGCTCAATGGTTTTTATTGACTCGTTTTATAAATTTTATTAAGAGGTAAATGAAAGTTTATTAAGAAATGATAGTGTAAACAACTATCGAAAGTACACGAACAAATTCACAAATATAGTAAAAACAAACAAACAAACACAAGCTACAAAACATTTAATTACACAAGCTAGAAAAGAAGTAAAAAATAAGGTAATACAATATGGTGCACCATTGGGTTCCATGACCCCTTCATGCCTAAAAAAAGCTGTTGAAGGTGTCCTCTATTACTAGAAAGCAAGGTCATAGCAAGAAACAAAAACTTAATAAGCACCAAAACTAGCTTGGAGATGAGATACACATGAAATAATTGTCTTTAACTTTTATATGAACAAAATTTATATAAAAGTTAGTTTATGGATGATGGGTGCCGAATCCATAAAAAATAAATTTCTATTTTAACAAAGAACACTAAATTGTAATAGTGACAAACAAGATCGATTCCTCAAGGAACTAAAAATTATTTTTCTCTTTTATAATCAATTGTACATAATTAAAAAACTGAGGCGGGGGGGGGG